GAACTATTCCACAGAGAGGTCGTACGCGGAAGAAAACTCCTTCTACAATATATCACCAATTTCGTCAAAAAAAATCATTTAGAGCGTACTCTGGCGACTCGGACACTTACTTATGTAACATTAATTGGCTGTATCACTTTTTTCTCAGTCATTTTTTTATAATAAAATAATATAATGTGTATATTTTCTGTTGTCGCTTTTCTTTAACCTGCTCTATAATTTTGCAACTAAGGTACTCTCGTGACAAGGATTTATGTTAAAACCCGAGAGTATTTATCAATAAACCACGTTTTGTAATAAAGCTGTTAAAATTTTATTTATAAACACCGTAGAGATCATTGTGCGATTTATCTACAGGTACTTTTATGATTTGGAAGAAAATGATAGTAGTAAGAATTAAAAAAATGGCACGTGGCTGAGCCGTGAACACGGCCGTATGGTTCACGTGAATACCTGCAGCGGAACAACCTCTAAATAGCGGCGCTCCCCACGTCGCACGCGATGCATCACAGTAATCATTCAACATAACAAATTCTTTAATACTATAAGTGGTGTAATAAGTTATTTAGAATAAGGGTGACAAACGAGCACACAGTCCACCTGTTGGTAAGTGGATGCTGTGGCTCATAGACATCTATATTTAACCTCGATTAAAAATCAAAACGCAATGCGTTGTCTCCCCTAAGGAATAAGATGGAATACCTCGTTTCCAGTAAAAATACCCTATCCGGATTTTACACTCACCATACGAAATAGCAGTATTAAGCTGCTATTTTACGCTGGTATTCTATGAGAACATGATTCTTCCTCAGTCGAGCCGACCCATTCGTGCCACAACAATAATATAACTACAGCGCGGCACGTCACGTGTTGGATGCAGATCATACATAGATATGTAGGTGCAACACTAAACTGTATCCCTCAATTATGTAATCATCAGTTTTCTTAATCGCATGTTACTATGGAAGCAAACTTAAAGACATATTCACGTTAAAGCGTAGAGACTAGAAACCATTTAAATTGCTCCTATCACGAGAAGAATAAAAGAGACTCTATGTTATATACTATTGATTGTTTAAACAATATAGATTATGGTAAGTTTCATGTTGTTCGCGAGTCATGTGATGTGACTTTGACTGAATATCAGCACTACGAGTACTCTGTTGCCGCAGAGTTATGCTGAGTTGGTAGCCTTTTTGTTGATGTAATTCACTGCGGAACTAGTTTTCTTTAAATAATAATACTATTAAGTATTTTTAGTATAAACTTAGTATAAATTCTGTGTGAGCGTTGTTTTACCTCTGTTGAGTCGACTAATTCGTGCTACAATAGTAAGTTATAAGAAATCAGTTTAAATTGCAATTTGTTAAATGTTAGTAGTTATTGTGTACTCTTTTATGAATTTTATAAAGCATAACCACCAATACTTCTCGATACTTCATTCCTATATCTAGTTTTATATCCCAGTAACCGATTTCCATAGTTCTAAATTACTCCGCAGTTAAATCGACTTGGGCTTAAAAGCTTTAGTCACGATTCATGATATCGTGAACCGAACGGAGTTCACACGTTATTTATGAAATATGATGCTGTACGAGTACCTATTTACTTATTAGTGTGTATAATAATTTATACGTACGTATGAATTATATTACTAATGCTTTATAGTATTGAAACACAATGGATTAAACTCAAACTAAAAACTATTAATTTAAAAATAAACGACTGTGTACTTGCGGTCTAAGAATATCAACTACCCCCATATCGTCCCGTAAGTGTCGTGAGAGGTGAAAGAGGGAAACAAACCTAATTTATGATAGAATTAGGGTGACAAACGACCACACAGCCTACCTGATGGTAAGTGGTTGCTGTGGCCTATAAACATCTACATCTATCCTTGATTACGAATCAAAATGCAGATGAGTTGTCACCCGTTAGGACTAAGATGGAATGCCTCGATTTCAGTAAAACGGGTTCTCTATACTCACCACACGAAACACAGCAGCACCAAGCTGATATTTTACGCTGGTATTCTGTGAGATCGTGGTTCTTCCCGGGTCGAGCCGACCTTTTCGTGTTATAACCATAACTGCAACGTGGCTCTACTACGTATAAAATAATAGCTAAAAATAAAAAATAAACTGTGGTTGCCAACCCGCCTGAAAGCTTGGCAAATTTGACAAAAATCCCCTCTATCAGACAATCATGGCGGAGGCCTTTGTTCAACAATGGACTTTAATAGGCTATTTTGGTAACGGTAGCCTGGTGCGTGTGTGTGTAATAGAGTTCTTTCTCAATTACTATTTCACATATAAGTGAGTAAAGTACTTGCTTTTCTTTCATTTTTCAAAGGGTTTTTAATAATATACCAATAAAATTACTTGCGTGAAATAAAGTTTGCACAGTACTACTTACCCTCAAAATTTTTTGCAAATCTTAGACCAAATTTTAATAGTTAAAACGTCAGGGACGCTAAATGTGTTTGATAATCCTTCAAATATCAAGTTCGTAACAAATACATATCATCATTATCAACATCTTCATCAGCCTGCGACAGTCCACAACTGGACACGGGCTTCCAAGCCGCACTGCTTATTCAACTTGCGCGCTTTAATAAAAATTTATAAATAGTATGTATTTCAATACTACTGCATTTGCATTGCATTATTAGATAGCAAACACAGATAAGGACAACAATAGAAGGAAACGCGGAATAAAAAGTTATTCCATGTAGCAATGAATAAAGATACGTAGTAAGACTCTGCGATCTTGTAGAGCCCCGCTACGAACAAAGTTCTACGATTTTGTAGTCTTGCTACGAATAAAGTTATTCCATGTTTCCAGTATTTTGTACAACGCCGTAAGATTTATGGCCTCGAGCCATTTTAAATCCGCTGACATAGCGTTCCATGTCCACACCGTTTCGTGTTAGATCGCTATTTCAATAACTGTACAACACAAAGGTTTTAACAAGCGTCGCGTGACCCAACTTGCTTTGGGTTTATACTTCAACGCCTGTTAACTGTCTGCAGGAATGCAGTTTACATCTATCATATATGATTGAACGTAGCAGGTTTTAATATAATTCAAGGGATCTATGAAATGTTTTGCTCTAATACATTGAGCAAATGAGATGGGTAAAATGTTCCGCAAGCTGTACAAAAATAAGAATATTGCTGTTAATTTAAATAAAATGAAAAATAATTTTGAATAACTATTCACATTTCGTAGCAGCTGTTGAAAAATAATCAAGTTTAAAAGTATTTAAAGTGATTTCTTCTCTTTGACGTCACTCTACAGCACCTTTAATGTGACCATATAATACTTCAAAAGATCAGAGTAGGGAAAAAACAATAGCAAAACTCATAAAAATATTAAATTTTTTGATATGTTACTTATGTATAAAACAAGCCTTCAATTAATGAATTAATACATGAAAATACACTAAAGGATAGGATTTTATTTATTTGTTTAATACAGCAACGGCTTAAACATGTAGTGTTACATTATATGATAGGGTTACAGGGTTCAGTACTTGCAACACTGAATCCGTCCGTCAAGCATCATAACAGTCAAAGTGTCACTCGGCATATGATAAATATGTACGCTTTTATTTCGTATTTGTGTTTTACCCTATTTTTCCTTTATTTAATAAGTGTCGTAGCCCAACGCGAGTGCTCCACTAATTATAAACGGTGTAAAGTTTAATTATTTTCTGTCTAATATACTTCGAAAATAATAGTATTAATATAATTATATTACAAAAAATAGTTACAAATAATAATTTCAAAGACTGAAAAAAAACTGCTGTCCTTGTTTTTTTTTTGCTAAACCAGTTAGTATACGTCCTGATCATCATGCAATACATTAATCTAGATAACATTCATGAATTGGAACTTTATTAATGTCTACATTGTGTAATAATGATAAAAACTGACTGCCAAACTTTTTTTAAATCTTTATAACTTTTGTCCAGTGTTCACTACTGCGTAGCTACATGCACTTTTCTAATTCTTTATATAGAGGATAGTCTGTATTTAAATAAAATGACATAGATTTCATCTCTGTACAGTTTTATACAATTTTTGGCCATCTCCTTTAGTTTTTAAGTGACTTAAGTCAGGAAAGTACGAAACGTCTACGAATATGCTTTTTTTTAAAGTATGGGTTCCATTAATGTAGTGTAATTTAGATTTATGATAAATATCTAAGACTATATATTACAAATATGTTTATTTAAAATACATCCTAGATTTATTTTAATTTTTAATTCAGATACAATACAGCCTAGATAACTCTTGGCATTTCTCTCTATCTGTTCATGAAGTTTCATTACAATTCAGTCTCAGCCATTCCAAAGATAAGTCCGAACAGACAGACAGATAGACAAATGTTTTAAAAATGGTGACGCATATTTTAATTACATGCAAATAACCTCTACGCTAAATTTAGAGAATTCATATCGATATTGCAGACATACACTTAGATTTTATTCATATGTACGTATGGATAATGTCCTCCAGACCGAATTTCGGACCATGCTGAATAGGGATATAGTGCCCAAGTGTATTCGCAAGCACAAATGCACTGTTTATCAAGGAGTAAATATATTTTTTTTGAATAAATTAACGTTATTACTGATTTAAATAATACAAAATTTAAGAATTTTATCGTTTATAATTTGTTTTTTATAAATCCGATGTTTCGAGTACTTTAGAGCACCCATGATCACGGGGGGACTGATGTATTCAACGTCCAGATGTCGTAGTCATCCGCGGTTACCACAGATTAAAATTTTAATTTTTTTTTATTTTAATCTGTGGTAACCGCGGTTGACTATGACATCTGAACGTTGAACATCTCAGTCCCCCGTGGCCATGGTGCTCAAACGTCGGGTTTATAAAAAAGTTTCGGGTTTATAAGAAAGCCGTAAAAAGTTGTTTTATTTAAATGTGTAGTGTTCCCGTAAATATAAGAAATCATTATTATTGATTGTCAAAATGGTTTTAAGAGAGGACGGAATACTAGTACAGCGTAAGTTAATTTATAGAAGACCAGTTTTAATAACAGTTAGGAAACAGCAGGTTAGGAAAAGAGCTATTCTTTTCATAAACAAATTAAGGAGACATAGAGGAATGCGGAATTCGTAGCCTTGTAAATGAATGGTTGATTTTTTGGCCTGAAACGAAAATCCAACCCGGGACCTCAACAGTCAGGTTTCTAACAACTTGACTAACGAGACAGTAAATAATATTTTTTTAATAGATAGTACGTGGCCAACGGATGATAAAGTGACTGAACCCTACAGCTTTACCTCCAGTCGTTTTTAACTATTTTATTTTGAAACTGATTCATACTGTAATAGAAATCATTATATTACACATCGATTTCATTATGACTTAGGTGTTAGAAAACTTGTGGCCAATGTAAGTTAAAAAGTGACAAGTTGTTTGCACGCTCGTAACTGCTTAATAACTTTTCTCTCGTCAATAACCGTATGCAGACCTTGTTGTCCCTTACTGACTGATTATGGTGATTTATGTTATTTTAACCTGAATGCAGAACTTATAAATAAATAAAACCGTCTTCTTTATAACTGCAATCGATTCATTTTTAAATCATTGGAGGTATTTCTCAAATTTAATTGCTATCAATTTGTCAGCGCCGTAGTTTACCGCAATTGTAAAAATATATTAAAAACCTTAATTAAAATTATACCGAACACATCTAAAACTAGATACATTATTTTCAGTGCCAAAAACAAAAAAAAAAAAACAAAAATCGCTTTACTCTCCGCATAAATAATGAACCCTTAACCAAAGTTAGTACAGAAAAGTATCTTGGACTCCACTAATTATAATCCACCTAGATAAACATTTAACGTGGCAGCCGCACCTAGATAAATTAAAATCTAAGTTTTCTTCTATCGTGGGTGCGCTTCGAGGGAGCACTGTCTGACAAAATCAGTGCGATATATAAACAACTCCATGATAAAACCTCATCTAGAACACCTAATAGAGGTGTGGGGTACTGCGGCTGAAACAAATCTAAAGAAAATCGAAACATGTCAAAACAAAATAATCAAACTACTATTCCATTATCACTATCTAACTCACACCGAAAAAATTTACAAAGAAACTCAATTAATGACACTATCGCTGATTTATAAATATAATACATTCATATTAGTACATATTATTAAATAAAGATATACACTCTAAAATAACGGTTACAAAGAAAGGACTAACATAAAAACGTATTACTAGACGACAAAAATAACATTTGCCTAAGACAACCTCGAAGTAACTACGGAAGAAAAAATATAATATATTTTTACGAAGGAGCAGAGTTATATAATAAATTGCCTAATAACATAAAAGAAATCCAGTCCTTTATTTTATACAAAAAAAAAAAAATTAAAGCACCACATCTTAAAATATTTTTCTCGATTTTAAATACCAATAACTTATTTAAAAAGCTAATTTTATTTCTTTAATTAATTTGATTTTACCAATTATTTAAAATATAACCATTAACATAAAAATACCATCTAAATTGCTTGCAAATATGAAAATGTGTGATTTAGGTGCTGCCATCTGCTTGGGATCCTATAATTAACAAAATTAAACCTAAACCCAAGCATACCACTGCAAGACTTCAAGATACTCTAAGTTCGTTTTGCGTAAATCGGACCAAAAATTAATATTCAAAAACTGAAGGTAGCCGGGCTAAAAATGACATTGGGACGTCAAATATCTCAGTCCCCCCCGTGACCATGGTTGTTGTAAAGCACCCGACACGTCGGAATTAAAAATAAGTAAAATCAGTTAAATAAACGCGATAGGTAAATTTAGTTTTATTATGTGTGATGTCTTCAATAACGATATATAATTGTACACCTACATTTCTTATTACCCACACCAAGAAAAAAGATTGTGCGTATCCAATACTTAACAGATCATTTACAAGTACCTGCCGTTCTTCCTAAGTTCATATATTTAGTATCTAATGATTAACTTGTTATTTCTTATGATAAGTGAATGGTGTTCTTTTTGAGAGATAAATATCTTAAACCGTAATCGTGGTATGTGTATAACTGTGATATAAGATCTATCTCAATATGTTTTCCTCCGACGGTCAAAATACCAAAGAATTTAAAGTATATGTTTATTAGGCGATTTAGAAGAAGTTTTATTCCTCGTACAACTTCCTTGTGGTATCGACTACCACCAGCGACTTGTTTGGATCGACATGACTTAGGGTTTCTAAAATGCCAGCAACGCATCTACGATTCCTCAGGTGTTGCAGTTGTTTATAGGAGGCGTTTTTTTACAGTCACTTACTATCATTTGAGCCGCATGCTTGTTTGTCCCCTCTCATATAAAAAAAACTCAATTGTTAAATGCACATTATATACTAACTCCTTTTAAATTCTAACAGAATATCACAAAAGAGCGAACATTCCCTTTCTATTCCTTTTGCTTTCCAAATAGCAGTTGAACTTCTTAAACTAAAGCGTCATTACGGAAAGAAATTTCACTTCGTTTTCATTCTATCGACTGCTTTAATATCGATTAAAGCTCTGGAACGGAGATTCGATAAGGATACTCAGTATATTGAACGCTTTAAGAGCTACAAAGCCATTTGGAACAAAGAACTCAGCAGTGTAGTCGATGCAGTCTCAAGCATTGTTGCAGTATTTTTATTTTTACTTTAAGTGTTATGGTATTACTATTAGTGTATTGCCGTTTAACTGTTGCATTTAAGGTACTTTAGACAAGACGCACTTAAGCACTTTCCGTTCTATTTAATACTATTAAACACTTTTACTTTCTTTAATAATTAAGGTTTAAATTGTATATCATGCCGTCATTTTTGTAAGAGGCGAAAGTTGGAATTAAATCAGGAGATGGGCAGCAGAGTCTTCTTAATATTGACAAAAAATCAGCGGTTTTCAACCCACTGGCCAGGAATAGTTTATATAACGCTATTGATAAAATTATCAAATAAGTGCAAAACATTAAGGTCATCCATCTATCCTCGACAAAAAACCAAACTGCAAATGCATGAGAACGCAGTGTGAGAACACTGAAGATTAAGATAGAATACCTCTTACTATCCGAAACCAGTATCCAATTCTCGACCCTCATCATACGAAATACAACAGCTTAATGTCTATTTGTACGCTGGTAATCTATAAAATTATATACCGCGAAAAAATAATATTCTACCGTGTACAGTGGGAAATGAAACAGGAGAAGGTCAGCGCTATTTTCCTGCTAAGAACTAAACTAACTAAGACTAAGAACTAAACAAAGCTAAAGAAACTACACTTCTAACTCAAAATAATAAAAGTAAACCGCAGCTGCCAATTTATCTGCCAAGTGCGGCACCTATGAAAACCGTCCCCCACCAATAAAGCAAGTTATAGGGAGGGCATGTGTTTAGTCCTAGCCGCAGGCTTTTGATGGACTATCCTTTTTTTTTTGTTTTGTTTTTTTTTTCAAACGTTACTCCCGAACTAGGATTTTATCCTGTATCGTGGAGGCAGTTTATATACATAAATTGCGCAAGGAAAAACATCCAGATTCGGAACAATTACTTGTAGACCATACAACTACTTGTTCCGTGAGGGATTCAAACCCGCGGCGCTCAGCGCTATAACTCATTGCTAATCTGCTGCGCCACGGAGGTGTCAAAATTCTGTTGATTTGGTGAATCTATAATTCCTAAAATTTTATTGTATGTCTTGAACTAAAATGAGCCTGAATAAAACGATTTAGACTTAAAACAATTGTAAATGTACAAACAATTTTAGATCAAAATACATACTTCACTGAAACAACGTAAAAATAAATAGAAACTGACCTACGTTACGTGGCAGATACAGAAAAATGTCGACATTTATCATTTTTCTGTCAACGAAAACTGTAAGAAGGGTAACCTGGAAGAGCTAGAGGACATTGGAGACGCGTTAAAACAAGACAAAGGAAGCAACCTCAGCGAGTATACAGAGTGTGCCACAAAAGAACTTCATCGCTGTCATTTCCATTGTCTCGGTGCCCCGCAAACTGTAACCTTGTATGGCCACAAAAACAGCGGCATCCATCCGAACAATATTTTTATTTTTAGTAATTTTCTCTTATTTGTAATCACAAGTTCTAAAACTTGTTCCTTTATGACCAAAGCATGATTATATCCATATTGTTGTACACATTTTTTGTACAAATTCGATGACAGAATTATAAAATGTATAATTTTTATTTCGCTATCTATCATTAATTTGCAGATAGTCGTCTAAATTATTTTGTAACTCACAATTTTAAATATAAGTAGTTACCTACTTGATCTAAAGTATTTTTTTAATCAGAAAGTCTTACTGTAAGCCAAGGTATTTGTATAGGTGTTATCACACTTTAAAGAGGATTGCAACCATGTTTCAAGATCGATGTTATATAGTTGATCAATAAAGATTTTTATTACTTTATTTTTTTAATATTATTACTTTATTTTTTAATAACAGAAAACCACTAATTGTGATATATTTAACATTAATTTTCCGATATATTTTTTTACTTTTTATAATATAAAAATCATATATACAATATTAAAAAAACTATAATAAAAACTAAAATTAAAACTATAATTATCTTACAGTCTAGTTAGACGAGTTAAGCGAGGGAGTTCACGTGCTACAGTGACTAGAATGGAGGCCGCGTTGCCTTCTTATCACCAACAGTGTTATCAAGTCGTGGACACAGTTCTTATAGGAACAGCATCTTGCGTGAACCCCACTGGCTGATAGTCTCTACAGCAAATGGCACAAATATGTAGTCATCTTTCAGAGACTCATATTTTTGCCACTTAATTTAGCTGTCTTTGTCTACATTAATTATTATTGTTAAGTTATGTTGTATTGCTAATTACTATAATTCCTTCATCTATAAATAGAATTTGTCGACCACGTCATAGTTTTTTTTTAAATCAAACAATTAGAATTTGAAATCAAAATTAACCACATTTTTGCTCTTTTATTAATCTACCGCTAGTTTCCTGGCCCAGCGTCAAATTTATATCCACCTTGTGTCTTCTGTACAAACGGGCGGGCAAAGGCTTCTTTCTTATTTCCGGTACGGTGCATATGATATCAGCTCGCCGGAAACGTACAGAGTGTGTCAAGACACTCTAATAACGATGTTTTTGTACTGCCAAAATTTTGAAATGAAAACGTACTCTTTTTGAGGCATTGCAATGAAAATTGCACATTGTTTATCAAGAGCCGTTTAGAACTTAGTTAATATATATTCAGTGCATATGTTAACGTTTATATAAACATGAATTATTTTTTGACGAATAGGATGGATTTTAAAAGCTATTTAGTATCAGTGTGAGAACTTGCAGTCTCACGCGTTAGAAGAAAATAGTTCTGTTCATATTGTGAATAATTTAAAACCTCGAATAGAAATAACAGTACACATTCTAAAGTCTGTTTTTTGTTACAGGTCTAGGAGTTTTACCAGGTGTGAGTGGAAGTGGAGAACTGCGGCCTGAGAGGCCATACTTCGATGACGTATCCCCGCGCAATGTGTCGGCTGTCGTTGGCCAGTCGGCGGTATTGCGTTGCCGAGCTAAACACATAGGCAATAGGACCGTATGTATTGTATTTACTGATTTTATTTAATTAACATATGAAGTAAGACTTCAGACCAAATTTTAGTCACGGCGACCAGTTTGAACGGATACGAACCATCTGCGCAGGACAGAATTATAGTGCCTAAGTGTATGTTGCACATAGGTTCACTCTAAATTTCCTCATACTAATTCATAGTCCGATGGGACAGTGATCCGATAGGATCTCACAGAGATCGGTGCCGGACCAATAACTTTATGTGCTTTTCGAGGCATGGGGTGAAACACCGCCAGTGAGAAAGAGAACAGAGAGCGCTAGAGATGATAGCTGCGTGCTACCATTCGCTTGGGATCCCCTAATTAATAAAATTAAATCCAAACTTAAGCTTACCACTGCAAGACTTAAAACTTAAAATACGGTAAGCTTATTCTGCGTAGATTGAACCAAAAATTAATATAAAAAACTGTAGGTAGGCGAGCTAACTATGACATCAGGACGTCAAAAATCTCAGTCTCCCACGTAACCATGGGTGCTGTAAAGCACGGGTTTTAAAAAGTTAAATTAAACAGCTAAAAAAACCGTAAAAAATTACTTTTATTCAATGTGTAGTATTCGCGTAAATATAAGAAATCATTTTGACGATGATTTTTTAATATAATTTAGAATCATCATCATTTTATCCCTTCATAAAACTACTACTGAACATTGTTCTTCCCCTTAACAGGGTCCTGAGCCATCAGTATTCATCGACTTTCTGTTTGTCCTACCAGATATTCATTAATTCTAGCGGTAAGCCGCCTCACATTTCTTATACCGGAACGAGATTGCCATCTTTTCTTTCCCATTGGTTGTCAGTTCTTCGAGCTACATGGCCAGCCAATTGCCACTTCCGTTTATTGGTCAGCTAGAAGTGAAGGACCACGTTATAGATCCATATGTTATTGGTAACAGTTTAAAAAATGAACTGCTTTGGCGAACGTGAGTAGACATAGATCACACTATTCACAAAGTCGACACTAGTATAAGTATTTTTCATCTGGCGTAAACTAGTTGACTATCTATCAAAAGCCAAGAATTTTTTTGGACATTTTCTATAATACTCTCTCATCAGGGCTCTTCTTAAAAAACAGCTATTTACGTAACATTGAAATATATACAATATTAAGGAGTTATAATAAAAGTTACTATTATCTTAAATATACTACATATATTCATTTATTACGGCCTATAAAAGTCCACAAAGGTTTTCCCCATAGATCGCCTCATCCGTCACGTTTACGCAATTGAGGGAGGGCAGGTGCTCTTCAAAGTAGGTAAGACACGTCATTTTATATAATTAATTGGATCTTACCTAAATAATTGTTAACATCTTAAATAAAATGATTTTCCGCAAGGTAACATCTCATGTTTTATAGAATAGGGTGAAAAACGAGAACAAAGTCCACCTGATGTGGTCCAAGATGGAATGCCTCATTTTCAGTAAAAATGGTCCCCGATTATCTACACTCACCGTACGAAACACAGCAGCATTAAGCTGCTGTTTTACGCTATTTTCTGCAAGAACGTGGTTCTTCCCCGGTCGAGCCAACCCATTCATGTTAAAAACATGGCTCTACCACGTGTAGATTCGTTTAATGATTGGATTTTTTGCTTGGCTCTCAAGATAACACCACACGGCAAGCTTTAAGTTTAATATTGTCATGGGTTGGGTAGTAAGGTAATTTTAAGAATAATATTATCAATGTTCAATCATTTTTATTTTTTTAAACCCCTAACACTAGGACTATCTCCTTTGTCGTGGAGAGTTAACCTATCCAGTCTTTCTAGCACTATAGTGGTAGTTAATAAGCGTTGAAAGATATTGGCGGGGTAATATTTCATCGTCTATTAAAACGGCACCGAACTTCCTAACACCGACGCCCGTTAACTTACATTGTATAAATTTTGCTGCTCATACAAAATAACCCTGATCTCAAATATATCGGTTCTGGAAGCAAACATTAGCATATTTATAGAATAACCCCGACCGTGATTGAAAATATACTGCATCTAGCAAATCTAGCCCGGCCTATATCCGACCACCTAAAAATCACAAATTTATGAACATTTTTATAAGCTTACAAGGATTAAATTTCGAAGAAGTCGAATAAAATTCAAATTGAGAACGTGACTAGCAAAGTAAATAGAATCAAGATCTCGTCGGGGGAGCCGGCCAATGTCTGGTGTCTACATCTGTTACTTGTTATTTATTTATGTACTAGCCATTAGATCCCCGAGACTCACTTCCAGTCTACATTTAGCTGTCCCCCGGGCGTTGTAGCAAGTTACCGGGATAAAAAGTAGGCCGTGTCGTCAGGAACATGATATTTTGTTATATATTATGAATAAATTAGCCGTTAATGGACAGGGGACAGAAAAGTTATAACAAACTGGACGAGCAACGCTCTTTTGCAAACATTTTATGTTACGATGACATTATATAATGGTTTTCTATGTCTACGGTAACACCACAAATTCAAATGAAACTATTTTTAAGTGAATTGGTCGGATTTAATTATCATTTAATTTTAGGCTGATGGAGGTCTGGTTAGTGAGATAGTATAATTAAAATTTAAACATAATGTAGCCGTGATTAACTACTGCATTGGGACGTCACCTCAGTCCCTGCGTGACCATGGTTGTACGTAAAAAAACCCGTTAAAAGTAGTTTCATTAGAATTAAATACAGAAATAAAATTTGAAATTTTATTTAAGAACCTATATACGCACCACTCCAAGTCATGAGCAAGTATAAGTCCAGGACATAAGCCTTCTCTCATTTGTGAAAGGTTTATGATACATGAGGCCGCCGGGCTGCCCCATTACGTTCTGGTGGACTTCGACTTTTATTTATAGAATAATGGTAAAAACTAACACAAAATCTACTTGATAAATGGATACTGTAGCCTATATAAAGATTTATTTAGGCTACAGTATCATCATATAATACGTTTATTGTAAATTAAGAATCAAAATTCAGATGCGTTGTCACCCCTGAGGATTAAGATGAAATGCCTCGTATCGTCTCCGGTTCTCTACACTATATTACATATCTACACCATATTAAACTGCTGTGTTTTCATTAAACTGCTATTACACTGTTATTCTACATTGGTTTTCTATATATTTAAATTTTCCGACATAAAGGATTCCATACGATATATTCCAATCGACAATCAACTATTTTTTAAGAAAACATATTGTTGCCGGCGGGGACCAAACCCCGGTTACCTTGTAACAGCTGAACATAGGCCTCCCCCATAAATAGCATTAAAGACAATTTATAGAGGATATACATTTCAAATTTGGTGGATATTTGTGAATAGTTACTGAGAGTTTATAACTTTATTGAACACGTGCAAAAACTTGTAATAATTGGTTTATTTAATCGTTTCCTTATATATTAATAATTATTAATTTTCTTCCGATTATTGCAAAATAATATTATGAACTAAAATTAAATTATAATAACATACAAACGACTACCACAATTCAAATGAAACTCTTAAGTAAATTATGTAGCTAGTGTCCAGGTTAATATGTAATTAAGTGACAGGTATATGTGTTATGGATTATATTGGCTGGGTCAAAGATAGGTATTCGGAAACAATAATAAGCTTAAACTCAAACCCCATAATGATTTAAACACAATATTGTCATATAATTTTTTACTTGGTAAAGCCATGTTGCAGCTATAATAGTAGTATAGTTGTGGCACGAATGAGTCGACTCGACCGGGGAATGACCACGTTCTCACAGAATATCAGCGTAAATTGCAGCTTAACTGTGTGTTTCGTATGGTGAGTGTAGAGAACCATTTACTGAAAACGAGATGTTCCATCTTAGTCCTCACAGGTGACAACGCATCTGCGTTTTGAATCGTAATCAAGGATAGACGTAGGTAGATGTCTATGGGCCACAGCAACCACTTACTATCAGGCGGACTGTGTGCTTATTTGTCACCCTTATTCTAATAAAACATTAAACCAATTATAATGATAATAATGTCCTTCAGGCCGAATGTCGCTCACGGCGGAGAGTCTCAACGGAGGCTAGCCATCTGCGCAGCACAAGATTATAGTGCCTAAGTGTATGGGCAAACACAGTTCTCTATTCTCTCACTCTCATAATCTGATTGCACGGTATCCGATACGATCGAAGAGAGATCCTATACAGAACCTACGATTTACACGTTTTCCGCACGGGGTTGAAACACCGTCAACTTCTTAACTTCGTGCTGTTACTGAGAATTTCTTGACAGAAAAACGAGATTACTGATTTTTACCTTTCAAACCCTGGACCATAAATGTTCAGCAATATCGTTTACAACCACTAGAGCAACAAGGCCGTGAAAACAATACAGTACCTAAAACGTAAGACGAACCCGATAGTTTTATTATATTATCAGTAGTAAAGAGTATATAAAACATTATTCACATGATCGTCTACTCGTAACTGGCTTGAACTCCGATTCGCTTATCTGTCTCGCACCTGCAAAACTCTCTACAGTATCATTTTTCACTGTCGATCTCCTCATTGGGCTCAATATCCCTTCTCAGTCACGCTCTACTGGCCGCTATATTAATGGTTGAGGGATCCAAAACCCATTCTAGGAAATAAATAGCCCTCTGACATATCCCGCGATGCATTATAATATATTGTTCGTTTCGGATTATCGTTGTGCCGTCATACCGGCAAAAACTCATTTGTCACTATTAGATGTTGTCTCTTTTTTACGACGTTTATTACTTAATTCGCTTTCTTCTCTGGTTGTTCTCAATTTCCACGTCTTCACAGTAGGAGAGAACAACATACATCATATATTCTTAATAACGTTTAAACTAGGATTTACTCGATCATGGACGCTATTTATATTGCACAATGACAAACATAAGGACCCGGAACAATGTTTGTAAGCCATACAAACAATGGTTCTGCGCAGAATTCCAACCCGCGGCACTCAATATGTGGTGCAAATCAAT